AAACAAATAGGCAGGAAGAAATGAAGATGGATTGGCTGGCCATACTCTGAGGAAATCATCAAGCCATTGCTCGAGTGGAACCAGAAAGGGAAGCGGCGAGTTGGTGGTCCAAGTGTGACTTGAACGCAATGGAGACGCACGGCTGAAGCCCTATGTTCCTCTAAGAATTAAAGGAAACAATAATAATATTGATAATTATTGGTAAGTCGGTCACCTATATAATGAAAACTTCTACTGCTTTCCTAAAATGATGACAACTATAGGACATCTACTATCTTTATTATAATAATAATAATTTACAAAATCTCAGGTTATATTATGCAACAACTTAATAATCCTTTCTCAGCATCGAGTCATTTTTGTGTTGTCAAGCTGGCCAATTGGTGAAGATAACACAATCAGGTGTAGATGACTGTTGGATTTGATAAGTGTGTTAAGTTATACAAAAGCAGCGTGTGTTGACATAATGAAATTGCTTATCACATATCCATGCTGATTTTGTCATTCTATGGGTGAGGAGGCGTAGAGTGTTGTAATTAGGTCAAATTCTGTTTCACTCCATCATTCCTACGCAGACGATTTGGATTCCATTTCACGATATGAAGTGCTTTTGGTGATGTTAGACGTTCTTTGTGATTTTGAAAATTTTTCTGGATGATGATTTCAATATTGTCAAAATCAATTTTCTGGCCTGATTCTATAGCGTAGTGTGTAGACCACCTCTGACTGATGATTTTTCAAGCTTTTCTAGTTCAACTGGATTATTTCAGTGGTCGAACAGATGCTCTACGGTGTTCATTTCTTCTGATTTTGATTTCTCTCTGGTGATGTTTGTTCGATGTATATCGCATCACATTCCAAGCACTTTATTGATTAAGTTGTTATATATAAGCTGAGATTTTGTAGATTCTGGTTTAATAATACTTCGATAAAGCTATTACCGTCATTAAATAGCGAAACGTCAGTAAAAAAAGCAATATCGTTTCGTTTTTCATTCATTGGGAAATACAAGAAAACCTTTATTATAATGAGTATCATATACCCAATGCCTAAATGTTTTCAAACTGTTAAAAGTAAACTTGGTTTGGCCATATACATCTACTATCTTATTCGCTTCTTTTATTAAAACTATCAAAATGCTGGAGTTGTAATTCTCGGTCATTTCAAAAGCCACCTATATAGGTGAGATGATTCCATAATGGATAAGAATTTATTTTGATAAATCACACAGTGTAGTACAGTTATATTACTGAGAATTGCTCATAATCATATCAAGTTGATATGATTATGAGCAATAGTTTGTGCTCGAAACGTCATCAGTTAATATAACTGTACTACACTGTGTGATTTATCAAAATAAATTCTTATCCATTATGGAATTATACTCTACCACAGTGCCCAAGTTTTATACTTATAGGTAGATGATATTCAACTGTCTCCTATTTTTTGAGGTTTATCGCTAATGAGCACTCACGATCTGCAGTTTGACCTGTTCGTCCTCTAGGTCGAGATCCACTGACGTATTAAATTTAATTTTCGTTGATCCACAAGCGTCTATTGTATCATTCACCTGAACGAACTCCACTGATAGAACTCTCTGAATCACAAGTTGCAGGAGAATGAATAGAGAGTATTTGGGTACAAAAAGTGGTTGATGAATCTGGTGTTCATTGATTTTATTTTTTATATTTTTGATTATAGATTGATTCCACACAGTATTTTCGGTACAAGTATGGAATTTTCACCATGTGATATCTATCGGTAGCCCAGATTTTGCAGGCCGACCATTTTCAGGAAGAAAACCCACTCCAACAAATATTTAGACTTCAAATCATCACACCCCATCAGCGCAAAGATTTCAGTTGTTTCAAGTCTTCTTAGACGAGCACACTTGCTGATAACGGATGAGAAAGAAAAGGAAGAAGAAGAAATATCAAACATTACTAATACTCTCAATCAAAACAACTACCCAAAGAACTTCATCAACAAAATCAACACAGACATCAAGTATGGCCAAAAACGCATTCCGAAAACATGGACCTCAACAGTTGTCATTCCATATAGAGCAGAGGCGTCAGACGATATCAGAAGAGTACTCAATCAGCTCGACATCAGAGTTTTCTTCAAAACATCAGACACACTGTGAAACAACCTTGTCCATATAAAAGACCAAATCCCTAAAGATTCTCAATCTAAATGTGTCTATGAAATAAAATGCTTGGAATGTGATGCGATATACATCGGACAAACATCACCAGAGAGAAATCAAGATCAGAAGAAATGAACACCGTAGAGCATCTGTTCGACCACCATAAAATCCAGTTGAACTAGAAAAGCTTGAAAAATCATCAGCCAGAGGTGGTCTACACGCCATAGAATCAGGCCGAAAAAGTGATTTTGACAATATTGAACTCATAATCCAGAAAAACTTCAGGAATCACAAAGAACGTCTAATATCACTTCATATCATCAAGTGGAATCCAAATTGTCTGAATAGGAATGATGGATTAAAACAGAATCTGACCTGGTTACAACACCTCCCTCCCCCATGAAGTGACAAAATCAACACGAATGTGATAAGCAAGTTCACTATGTAAACACACACTACTTTTATAATTTTACACACTGATCAAATCCAACAATCTTTACCAATTGACCAACTTGACAACTAAAAAATGCCCCCAGACAGACGAACGATGATCAAGTTAGTAAACTTTATTTTGATATCATAACAGAGGTACTATTACCTTTGTTATTTGGTTTAGTGATCTTCATTGCTATTTTTACTTTCAATATGTCCCTTTAACTTGACCTAAGTCTATTTTCTCACCCCCTAACTCTTTGTTATATATATAAGCTGAGATTGTGTAAATTCCGGTTTAATAATACTTCGATAAAGCTATTACCGTCATTAAATAGCGAAACGTCAGTAAAAACAATATCGTTTTTTTTTCATTCATTGGGAAATACAAGTAAACCTTTATTATAATGAATATCATAAACACAATGCCCAAAATTTTTCAAACCGTTAAAAGTGAACTTTATTTGGAGATATATGATGTCTCTTCTTGTCATAAAGTAGTATTAGTAGGATTTTGAAATAATGAATCCGTTTATTGTTTGACACTATAAGGATTCGAAGACATATACGAATAGTTCAGCTTGATTATAACTGCAAACTGGCCAAGTGGATTAGAGTTTCGAATAAGCAGTAGGCTTACGTGTTCATTTAAAGCATCCATCAGTCCCTGTTAGTCATAATGTCAATAATGTGGCTGTCAGCACTTCCTCTGTCAATTCAATACACATCCAGTATCGTTGAACTGTTTGTTCTTATATCAATGTCTAGATAGGTATTCTGACATCATATGTCGAGAGTGAAGAGACTGCTAAAAATTATTAATTTCTCAGAGGTTTAGGAGAGATATTTTTAAATTCGGCTAAGCCTTTTTGTAATCACATCTAACTTCTTTCATATTACCTCATTACACCGGTCGAAATTCCACTGGAAGGGGGGATTAGAAAATCCACGTCACTGCGTGATTGTAACTTTCTTTGAAATCTTTTAAACAATCGTCATAAAATCCATAGCAGTTTATAAATGTTGGGCCCTATCGGATAGTCTAAAAGCCAATCATTCATACCTTACACTATTCAGAAACGAGTCTGTTCTCTGCTTCAATCTATTTGCTTTTCACCTCCAAAATAAGTGACTCAACTCCAGGATTGATCGTGAGCTGGTTTCAGTCTTGGCAGCTGTTTCATCTTTGCTTGATACCCTTCATCAGTACACACCCATAACTCACCACACTGGTGACTGAACGCAGGACTCTTAGATTATCAGGCAAGTATCCTGAACAGAATCCAATTTTCCATCGATTCTAACTTCTCTCGATTCATTCAATGTTATCAAACCCGCTGGCCACGACTTCTCACTAGAAATGTTGGCACCTTCATCCTGTATGCAGTCAGTGTCATAGATTAATTTTAAACTTCATTTTCTTATAGGCCTCAGTTATTAAGAAGATACGATGCTACAGAACTTTCATTGTCCATAAAATTGTCCTGTATTCCAACAAAGTATACGTAATCCCATTAAAGTGTATATCTCTTGATTCCTCGCGAATCATACAAAAAAAACAGCCTCCAAAGCCTCAGGATGGTCGGGGGTGGGTGCCTTGCGCTGCGGGTTAGCCACCCCTCCGCACACCTCTTGAAATGCTCCCATATGACCGGGCGTCTTACATAGCCTCTCCTGAGGAAGTCCTACTCACTGCCTTCACGTGGCGGAGGTGTTTTTCACCAAAGTGAGAGGGCGAAAGCGGATGCTCGGCGCTCTTCACCGGGTTGACTGTCCATTGGATGACAGTCTAGGGGAGATGGCTAAACCCTGATTCCAAACCTCCAACAACTGGCGTATGAAGCTCACTGGAGCTCACCGGAAGACGTATGGACAAAGGGCTTGTTGGATGTCCTGGATGTCTGGCCCCATTCAAAAAGGCGTATGAACCGAACTCCGGTCACCGGCTGCCAATGGATAGTGGACTCCCTACTCCACTCCTACTGCCTTGTAGGTCACACTTGGTTGTGTAAAGGCTAGAGCTGCACTCTCAAACAAAAGGCCGAGCGATTCTGGGGACATCACTCGTACCAAATTCCCATGAAACTTCATGAACTCTCTTACAAACGAGGTACAGTCAAGGCTGATATGGAGTGCCTGGGGCTACAAACCGTCTACGGACTCCGTCTGTGGAACAAGAATTGGATAACCCTGTCGCAAAACCTTGCATCAGATCGCCGCGCCTGGGCAGCGATGATTCGAGATGTTCATGAAGCCGGCTCATCCTCTCGTAGGAGATAGCCGAAGTAAAGTAAAGTAATAAGTATATCTCTTGACTTGATACATGTGTCGACAGCTTGTAACACTTTTTCTTCACCTTCTCAACATTCCATAGTATCAGAAAAAGAATTCTCAACAAAATAGAAACTATATATTAATATTATCAGTAGTATGAGTATTGTTGTTAGTAGTATTGTAAGTTCACCACACAAAAAAGAAAACGAAACAGACCGTAAAAGGAGGTAAATAAAATATAAGTATAGGGAATACGACACACACACACAGAGAAACTGTTCTTTCTTTTAAAAAAAGCTACATGTGAAATATATTTCACAAACTCATTTTCTGAGAAGAGAAGAGTAGAGAGGAGAAGAAATACAGAAATTAATTAAGTTTAACCTCTTATGAACCATAGTAAATCTCTGAGGTCATATAAATTAGCTGAAATCTTGATGGTTGAGTAGCCTCAATTAATATGAACCATTCATCTATATTGTAGATACTTGAACGATGTACATATATATATATAATATATATGTATAAGTATAGCTAACAACTTTCTCATATGCACATTTTCCAGTAGAAATGGGACTGAATGAATCGATGAATTGTAATCACGAGTGAATATACATTTGTTAATAAATAAGAACATAATACATCTGGAATGGACAGTTCTATTCGTAAAAGTAGTAGAGTTAATAATAGTTTTTAAAAAAACACAATAGTAATAATAATAATATTAATAATAGTAATAAAACTCTAACTCCGATGATCGCTTGATACAGCATTCAAAACTCATCAGTTAGTAGAGGTATATTATTCACATTTTATTATGTCTATTTTATCAAACAGATAGATATTAAAGTTGCCGCCACACGTTTTTTTCTTGAATGAGTTCAATTTCATCATTGAACATTGAATAATATCAGTTGACTTTTGAATAATGATGAAATTCTTTCAATCCACAACATTGTTCATTAAATTTTATCATCTTCACGATAACATATAAAATGAAATATGTGCAAATGAGAGTAGAATAAGCCATAATCCACTGACTAGAGAATTATAGTTTCCAGTGATTCGTATCCCTTGAAAGTTAAAAAAAAAACAAAAAAGTAGAAAAGAAAGTAGAAAATAGAAAAAAAATCAATAAAAAGTTGATTTATTCAGGGGATGTTTATCTTCTCACTGTATTCAATTTGAATGATATAATTCTATGGAAACGAATTGAATTCTAGTAAAGTTGTTGAAGAAGCGTCAAGCTGGTCACCAACCACATAGACTGAAGTGAAGGTTCTGAGAGTTTGATCTCTGCCAAGATCACACACAGTACACAGTGTTGTGCTGTCTCGAAGAAGAAGGATAAAATAACTGTAGAGTACTTCTTGGTATTTTTAATGGTTCGCTAATTTATACCATTTGATGTTTTAGCTTGAAATAGTATGTCCAGTCATATTTTACAGGGGGTTTAGTTTCTTCATAAGAGTTATTGCGTGCCGATTTCATGCTTCTGTCTTGCTTGCATTTCAGTTACCTATTGAAGTATTTATTATTGCTAGTGTAATGAATTCCTCGTGTCGCTTTAATAGTCCACTTGCACCGAGAGGTGTGGTGATTGGATATCAACAGACCCCTTCAGTTCATCCGCTTGCAACTCGTCGATTAACACATACCAATGTCACGTTCAAAATGGTGCAAGAAAAATAAGATGCGCTCAATATTTCTTTTTTTGCTGACTCTTTTATTGTTGGCCACCTCTAGGTGATATACTTTGTACCATGTCTCTGAAGAGATGTAAACATGATAGTCCTGAAAACGATTTCTCTCAGGGGGATATTCTTGTAGTCAAGGTCATTTTTCGATGATCAACATTAGTAGCGTTCGAATTTTTTTTGATTTTGTTTAAAGTCAGGAAGATTTTCGGTATGTGCGTATTCAGATGTTACGTTACATGTAATGATTATTTTTACCTCGAAATGTCTACTTCTTAAACTGCGACTTTGATTTGATGTACCACCAGGATCGTTCAAGTAGTTACCCAGAATCTGGGTGATTTGAACGGATTCAGCCCTTTTAGCCGATTTAAGCTAAAATTGACTTGAACAAGGGGAAGAACCTGTCAGTGCTTACAGGTCAACAACTACCACAGGGTAGATATGAGTACTTTCCAAATACTCATATCCGTAGTATATAGTATAGTGTATTTTTGTTGCTTTTAGGCTACAACTGTGGTATCAGTCAGATGAAATATTGAGGTCACAATGATTTCGATTTCCAAACCAAACTATGATAGAATTTCACCCGAAACAGTATAAATTATTATTATTGTTTCCTTTAATTCCTAGAGGAACATAGGGCTTCAGTCGTGCGTCTCCATTGCGTTCGGTTCTCTCCTAGAGTCTTCACCTGGCTCCAAGTCTGCCCACACGTTTTCATCTCCTCTTCACATGACCTCCTCCAAGTCACCCTTGCACTGACGACCAACTCGCCGCTTCCCTTTCGGGTTCCACTCGAGCAATGGCTTGTCTAGTGATGTCACTTGATGGTTTGCTTCCTCAGAGTATGGCCAATCCATCTCCATTTCTTCCTGCCTATTTGTTTCACAATCGGTTCCTGCTGAGTTGGTTCGCTCATTGCCAGAGATCTCTGTTGCTGATCTTTTCTGTCCATCTGATCTTGAGCAGTATTGAGCGAAGACAACTGTTAATGAAGGTCTGTAGTTTGTTTGAGATGCTCTTTATGACGCGCAGTGCAAGTCTCTGATCCGTATAGTGAGTAGCACTGACTTCACATTGGAGTTGAAAATCCGGATGTTATTTTTGATGCTGAGTGCTGTTGACCTCCACACAGACTTGAGAGTAATGAAAGCTTGTCTTGCTTTTCCGATTCTTGCTTTGATATCCTCGTCAGTTCCGTCTGTAAGTTGAAACGATGCTTCCCAGGTAGGTAGGTGAAAGAGGTTGTTTCTTTCAGGTTCCTCCCATTTATGCTGATTGTTGTCTGGCATAAATTAGGAGAAGCAAATTTGAATCAATGTGTAATCAGTTCGCCCAAGTAGCTTACCACGATTTAGTTGGTTTCAAATGGGTGAGACCGGGAGCATAGATGATGAGCACGGTTTCACTTGATATATCGAGGAAATTAAGAAAATCAGTTCAAAGAACTTTTAATGCTGGCGAACTACACGTATTATTCTCTACACGACCGATGGTGCTACCTCGACTGAAAGATGAAGTACCTAGACTAGCTAGCCACTTCAAATTGTATCTACCAATTCAACTGCGCTTGTGGAGCGAGTTATATTGGCCGTTGCTCTAGGAACTTGATTTTTCGTGCTCGCTCGAGAACATATCCCACTATGGCTAAGTAAAGGTGTAGTTAAAACCATTAACAGTTCGATATTGGACCATCTGGTGCAAACCGGCCACAAAGCCAGCCAGCGTGGAAGAATCCTTCTCTATCATCATCTACCGGGTGCCTAATAAATTGCCAAAATCATCGAAGCACCGCATGCTCCAAACAGCAGAGGCTATTGCAATTCGCCTCAAACAACCAGTGCTCTGTGTTCAAAAGAAGCAAGTCCAGCCACTACTACTGCCCTGGCCAGCCTTCAGTAGAAACTATAAACTCATAAATTTGTAATATTATCTTTCCTAATTCTTCTGACATTCAGCTTATTTTATGTTGATGCTGTTGAGCTGTAATCTATCAATATTATTGATTCGATGTTATTTAAACAACATTAATGTTGTTCATAACACTAATTCATTCATTCACTATAATGTATATATAACTGTAGAGCCTGATGATGAAGGGGTTATCGAAAAGAGTACTCTTTGTTCAGTATCCATTCTTTTGAAAATAAGCTAATCTATTTCTTTTCAGTCATGCCAGCTTGGTTTTTTTTCTTGGCAGATAATATGCTGTGGAAAGCAATCACAATGTTAGATTTCTTCTTCTTCTTGTATTTTAAACTTTTAAATCCTATTTAAAAGTTTCACTGAGATATACAATTCACGTTGTCAATGGTTACCATGAAATGAAGGAAACACGTGAGTTTATTAAATGCTTGCTGATTGGCGTCTTTTATTGTTCACTTCCTTTGCTGTTTTATCTCCAAATATTAAAGAAACCAATGTACATTTATGCCTATTGTTGCTCGTTAGTGATTGTTTTAACAAACTGAGCAAGCAGGAAACTGAAATTACTTCTGTCGAGTAGATATTAATAACTTGTGTAATATACTTTGTTGTCTTTCACCTAATATTACTGAGACTCACAGTACATTCTCTTAAGATAACTCATTCCATGTAGTCAAATCATGTTACGTAAGAACTCAGATGATGACTGAGAGTGAAAATATTATTATTATCATTGTTCCCTTGGGTTCCTAGTGGAACATAGGGCTTCAACTGCACGTCTCCACTTGCTTCTGTCTTCTGCTGTACTTTTCACTTGCATCCATGTTAGTCCATACTGTTTCAACTCCTCTTCACACGATCTCCTCCATGTCACCCTTGCACGTCCCACTCACCGCTTCCCTTTCGGGTTCCACTCGAGCACTGGCCTGACGCGCGATGTCATCCAGCGGCCTCCTCAGCGAGTGTCCAATCCATCTCCACTTTCTCCTGCATATTTGTTGGGCGATTGGTTCTTGTTTTGTTTGTTCCCATAGTTTCTTGTTGGTGATTCTTTCCGGCCATCTGATCTTCAGTATAGAGCGAAGACAGTTGTTGATAAAGGTCTGCAACAGGCTGTTGGAAATATTCTTGGTGACCCGCCAAGTTTCTGATCCGTATAGAAGAACTGACTGACTTGACGTTTGTATTGAAAATCCGAATCACTTTGTTGTTGATGCAGGCTGAGTGAGTGACGAAGATTTCCAGATTGGTTTCAGGTTGATGAATGTGTTTCTCGCCTTCCTGATTCTCGATTTGACATCCTCGTGCGTTCCTCCTGTAGTTGAGACAATGCTCCCTAGATAAGTGAATGAAGTAACCTCTTTCAAATCCCTCCCGTTGATGGTGATTGGCGCTGGATGTTGCTGCTGTTGTTGTTGTTGGTTGGTTATTTTCATAACCTCCGTCTTGTCTATGTTCACCTGGAGTCCTGTCTTTGCTGCCTGCTTCTTCGACCAGTTTGTCGGTTTTCGCTTGTAAGTCTTCGATTTTGTGTGACATCAAACATAAATCATCCACGCGCGAAATCCAGGTCTTCTAGGTTCTTCACGTCGGTCCAGGATATCCCTGTCTTCTCGTTTCCCACTGTCTGACGCATAATCCAGTCCACCACAATTAGGAATATCATCTGGTGATAATAAGCACCCTTGTCTGACTCCTGTGTTTACTCCAAACGCCTCGCTGAGTTTTCCGTTGTGGATCACTTGACATGTGCCGTTGTCGTACAGCTGTTGAATAAGGTTGATGAATATTTGGGGTACGCCGTAGTACTCGAGTAGTTTCCAAATTACTTCGCGGTCAACGCTGTGAAGGCCTTCTCAAAGTCTATAAAGTTGAGGTAGAGGTTTGATTGCCATTCCATGCTTTGTTCTGTGATGATGATGCGTAGAGTTGCAATTTGGTCAGAACATGATTTGCCTTTCCTGAATCCAGCTTGTTCTGGTCTCAGAGTGAAATAGGAATCTTAATTAATAACAGGTGGCTTGTGAATTACTAATCCGGTTGTATCACGGACGGCTTTATCGTGAATTAACACAACCGACTTCTGTGCTTCTGATGTGCCGCCAACCATGCACTTGGGCTGGGGGGGGTTCGATTCCCAGCTGACACACTCCCAAACCTTTCGTAACTGGTAGTAGTAAGACCGGTGATGATGATGGAAAATTTGGCATGAGGTTAACAATCCCATTCAGTAAAAAGAAATGTTGAAGCTCTACGTTGCATTTGGAATGCTTTCAATTCAGTGGGATTAACATCAACAAGTGAAAATCTAAACGGATAGCAAGTGTGGTGATAAAAACAGTACCATTTATTTATTCATATGACACTCAGACATTACGTGTCATGACTTCAAAGAAATGATAACCTGGTTAACAGCCGGAAGAGCGCCAGTCTAGTAATCCAAAGGC